TTAGGACTTATGACCTCTTTATGGTATCCTATTACTATTCTCATTTCATAGGTAAGGAAACCAGACGCACAAGACTGACTTGTCCAAAATCACTGAGCTGGTAAGTGACAGAACCAAGATTCAAATTTTGCCTCTCTGGCAGAATCCAGCAACTCTGCTCTTAAACACTGCTCTATACTGCCTCACACACAGCACCTGAATGTTTACGCTTACATCCAGTCTCACTCTGTGATCTCGGGGCTATGATTCAACTTCTTTGAGCCTCAGTTTTTTCATCTGTAAAATGCAGGAAACATTCCTTGACTCATCTAGATGTTGGGAGAATCATATCGAATAATACATGTAGAACACTACTAGCAAAATGGTTGACTCATAGAAGGTGCTCGACAAACGTTTTCCTTCACTTCCAACTCCTCATCCATCCAAAATGGCTGGAACACCAAGGGTCTGGGGGGGTCCCAGAGAGTTGCTAAGAGTCATGCAGTGAAGATGTGCCGCCTGCCTGTGCACAGTGTCCTCTGCCTGGAGTGCTCCTTCTGGTTCACTTCATCAGCAAACTGTGCATCATAACCCATTAGTGAGTTATTACATCAAGTTAGTGAGTTGTGACCTTCCATTTTTCTTAAAACAGGGAGACAAATAGAATGGAATATAACAAAGTACGCTTTATATAAAAAGTATAATTTAACAAAAAATGCTTTTCAGATTCATGTGTTTTATTTACTGGGTCATAATGAAGAAAGTTTTTCTTACTTTGAGTAAAAAGACTTGAAGATTTGTAAGTTTACTCACATAAGATATTTAAGAATCTATTCAGATATCTGTGGATTAGGAAACAACAAAGGTTTCAGGCCTTCTGAGAGTGAATTTTTCACACCACGCTGCACTGTGATGATCTTCCTCTCATCTGTTTCTCCCACTAGATGAGATATTCTTGTGGACAGGAAACATGACTTTTACTGCCGAGTCCTCAGCAGTCTTCACCTCGGTGTTCATTATAAGTCCGGGCACAAAATATACACTCTAATCTTGATGAATACATAAATAAATCATAGCAAGTGACTCTTAAACCTAAATCCAGGACAAAGAGGTTCTTCACTTGACTCTCAAAATCGATATTTTTGATTAACAAATGAGCATGGGCCAGGCTTCTCTTTTACATTCTCTCCTGTGACCTTTTACTCCCCATTGGTGGACTTAACTGTTTCTTTCCTTCTCTTCCTGTTCTCCAAGTACTGGGTACCCTTGCTCTTGTTTATTAAAAGAAAGGATCTTAGCTATTTGCACTTTTATGTGGTTTTAATCCTCTATATCTCTGACCTTTCTTAGTAGCATTTGGATATAAAGGTCTATTCCTATTAGTAGCAGGAAAAACGTTGTTCTCTGTCATGGATGCTTTCACCAGTTGGTAGGTAAGAGAGTGCATATTTTAGAGGCTGGGAGAGCTCAATCTGCCCACATGGAAAGCCTTGAAACACATGCAACAAAATCTGTATTCCAGTGGCTCAGGAACCCAAGTGCATCTCGTCTGAAGAAGTCATAATATACTTGTGGAGAATTTGAAGCATTTTTTATTCATTTTTTTTAACATTTTATTTACTTTTAAGGTTCTACAGCTATATGTTTCACAATGCAGGAAATACACAATACAAATAGCCCAGTAAATCAAATATACCCAAATCATTCACAAAGAACATGTACAGCGTTATCATAAGCAGTGATCAACTCCATTTGTACAGCACTACCAAAGCACTTCAGACACCTTACACAAAAGATTCAAAGAAGGGAAATAATTACAAGTAGATTGGAAAATAGAGAGGGTTGGCTCAAGTTTAGAACACTGCCTGGCTCAGATATGCTTGTTCCGCCTCCTTCCTTTCGACACTTTCAGGCAAACAAATTGCTATCACCTGGGAGGATTGGTTCCAGTAAGGGAATGAGGCCAGCTCGTGCACGACCCTGAGAAGATGCAGCCTCTCCGACACAGCCAGGGCAAGGCTAGGTTTGGGGGTGGGAGTGTGTAGGTGTGTGTGACTGTGTGTCTGTGTCTGTGTATATAGGGAAGAGGCGGTAATTTCCAAGGGGAAGGGTGGTTTTGCGGTCCAGACAAATATCCTATAAGTCAGCTAAATTGTTTATTACAGAACAAAGACAGGCTGCTAGCTTTATGGTTTAGGTTTTGGCTTCATGGAAAAATACCAATAAAACTAAAGAAATCCCATATGTCCTGTAGTGCCATTTATCCTGTGTAAAAACCCTAAAGAGGTTTATGTTGGAGTTTCACCTCTTGGCTAACCTATTCCTTAATCTAAGAGTCCAGGACTGTGCTGCCTGAAGAAGTTTGGGAATCATAGCTCAAGTGTACTGGAGAGCTGATACCACAGAAGCTAGGGCCCCAGGAGGTGCAGTCAGAAGAGAGGTAGAAGATTTGACTCTGCTGCCAAAGAGCTGTGGCAGATCTCTTCCCTTCTGGGGCCTCAGTTTCCTCTTCTGCAAATTAAAGAGTGGATCTGGTGATAATTAAGCTTCCTTCCAGCCCTAGGCTTACTCAAAGCTAAGGAGAATAATATTCCAGGTTGTCACTCTCAGAGTAAAGAGACATGCTCATCTTTTGATATTTATATAATCAGAGAAATACTGCAACTAATGTATTTTGAGACAGCAACTAGTTGAGTTTCTAAAATAAGTACAACCAACTGGCACTGGCCCTATTCAAGTGCTCTAGATAAAGTAAGCATAGCTATGAAAATCCTATAGCCAAATTTGGTGTATTCCACCCCCCTCTCCAAAAAAAAAAAAAAAAAAAAAGACAAAGGTACAAAGTTGCTGGATCATTTTTAGTAAGAATTCCCCTTAAGTCTTGGTAGTTCATTCCACTTGGTTGCCTTTTTCTTGCTGTTATTGGTATGGGGGTATCAGTTTTATCACATTGCATGAGAACAAGGCCAAGGGAGTCTTATAAGTTCTTTCCCTCTGATTTTACTCTATGCCCCTATCTCTTCCAATTTTATACCTCTAAGAGTCATTTAGATGCTAAGATCAGCCCTCTAGGTACTAAGTAAATATTAATAATTATACCTTTGGAAACCAAAAGTCGTATTTATATAGTAGAGAGATCATTTGGAGAATTTCCCATGAAGCATCAGCTATTTTTGAATGTCATTTAAGAGAGGTTCCTCCTTTCAATACAACTTCCACCTATTAGAATGGTAACAAGATAATGTTCCTTATTACCTTAAGTCTTCATCTCTTTTGTATGTAATAGTTTTATTTATCATTTTAAAGCATAAAAGTTTGGGTCTGATTAATACTATTTCAAATAGGTCTATTAGTTTTATATTATATCACTATATCACTTCATTTAATTTTCCTAATCTTCTACAACTTAATTCAAAAGACTTAAACTATTACCAATATATTTTCAGCAAAGTTCTTCTGTTCATTAACATTTTTATGCACTCTATTTTTTTTAACAAGGAACCAATAGTAGGGTAATTTTTACTTTCAGTGTGATTCTATATAACCATTTCACTTGCATTAACTGATTTATCTCTATCCTATTAACTTAATTGGCTTTTCCCAACTTGCTACCCAAGACTAAAATGTTTCAAGATTTAAAAATATTTGTATAATGGGAACCAGCAATATAAAGCAAATAAGGAGAAAAGAAAGTCACTTTCCAGCACATCTGTGACTTCACTATAAGACATGTTCCAGGGTGATTCTTAATAGTTCCTGTCGCAGATTACACTGGTGTGTATCAAAATAATCTTGTGAATTTCAGTCAGTCAAATTTGGAACATTAACTGTCTGTGTTTGTTTTTTTGTGTTTTTATTTTAAATCTCAGGGCTTCTGAAGTACTGGAACTCCTGGAATAAGGAGGGACTTTATACTCGTCCCAGTGGCCAGCAAATCAAGGTCCTTGAGAACCTGCCACCTTTTGGAACCCTGCTCCCTTCTTGGCTCTGCTGTGCCTACCTGATACACATAAAAGATAACTTCACAGCCAAAATGGAATCAAGAGAACAAGTCAATTCAAGTATATAACTTAGTATCCATAATACACACTTCACGCTAGGAAAAGACAGTGAAATTTCAGGTGAGGAGGATATGACCTTGGATTGGAGTCCAAAAAGATTCTGGGGCCGAGTCAGTGCGGAGAATGCAGTGAGGATGAGCATGGTTCCTCTACTGGCACATAGATTCATTCTGATTATTCATTAGATATCCCTTCCCCCCTTTCATTGTTAATATTTAACATTATTTTAAAAAGAACAGTCAGCACTGATGAAGTATATTTTGGAAAGAACATAGGAGGTTTGCACTAAGAAGTACATGAGATAGTTCAGTGATGATGGATCTTACTCAGGAATTAACTACAGGGATGAAAGACTGGGAGGCATTTCAAGTTCAATTAGTCATTTTTATCCGGTAAATTAATGAGTTTTGTCAGGCATGGGACAACTTTTGTAGTCTGAGAAACGACTGGTCACAAGATACCATGGAAGAAAATTTTTCCACTGAAACTTGTTGGAAGAACTATGTAACTGTTTAACAGAGTGCTTTTGAATTCCAATCAATACACCAAAGTTCATACAATATGTATCAAGCAGATCAAGACATGATACAAGAATATTTTCTTTCTATATGGATGGGAAGAAAATGTCCATGGCTTTGGTCCATATATTCAATTTAAGATTATCAGGAATGAAAATGTTTCTTCTCATTATTTTTACTGTAACCTGTGCTAAGAACTTGACCACAGACCATAATATTGTCAAAGAACAACACGTCAAAAGCAGGGCTTTTAACTAATTTAACATAATAACATTTCAAAATTTCTCTTAAAAGTGGTTAAACTTAAGGTCTTACAGTGGTGTATTGATGAGCATGGGTTAATAAGAACATGTGTTCCATTGCTACAAGGTGTTGCCTTTATCTCTCCAAGCTGGATTGCTCACACAGTGTAGATCACAGTAAGAAATGCTCCGTTGCCTACCTGACATAGAGGGAGCGTTTCTGATTGGTTCGCAGGGACCCGGACCCGGAACTCATGCTGTGGTTCATCATCTGCTCTCGTAGGTCATGGATTTTGGCCTCAAATCGAGCGTAATCTGAGAATGGAAACAAACATGGTAGATTTTGTCCTGTGCCTTCAGAGGAGTAGAAATGGTGCACAGCCAAGGCAGCTACTTGCCTCTGATGTTGGTTCGTTTGCCAAGCATCAGGGAGATAACACCTCTCAAAACAGTGAACACTGAGGGATCATTTGTTTAGTATTATTTGCAGACATTCACAAGAGGAAAAAGACAAATCAGTTACTTCCCCAATCGTAACTAGAAAACATACTGCCATCAAATCCCCAACATGTGAAAAGTCCTCGGGGAGGAGGTGTGTGCGTTATAAATGGGCAACACAAGGCATCCTTGTGGTGATGAAATGTGCTGTCATGACTATGGAAATAGATACAAGTAATTGCACATGTGAAATAATGACATACAACTAACTACACTCACATATATCCAGGCAAATGAGTACAAATAAAACTAGGAAAAGCAGAATTAGATTGATGGACTATATCAATGTCCTGGTTATGATAATGCGCTATTGTTTTACAATGTTACCATTGGGCAGAACTATGAGTAAAAGGTGTCTGAATCTTCCAGTATTATTTCTTACAATTACATGTGAATCAATAATTATCTCAAAATAAAAAACTTTAATTAAAAAAAGAGGGTAACCCTCCCCCCACCAAAACCAAACCAACCAACCAAACAAACAAACAAAAAAGCCCAAGATCCACAGACAAAACAAGTATCCAAGGAATTATCAATGTTATTGGGAGGGGAGGTAGACAGACCAGAGAATGAAGTTTTTGGTGATGAATTGTGTAAAAAATTGCCTTTTACTTTGACTACGTTTTTTTTTCTGCTACAGGTTGCTGATCATTTGGGATCATACCTCAATTTTGCCTTATAGCCTTAATAGGAAAAGTCCATATATCAAACTTCATCAATTAGATATATAATATAGTTAAATCAGCTTCTAGGAGACTAACATTAGAAATAGGGGTAAAACATTAAATTTTTTAAAAAGGGGCACCTGGGTGGCTCAGTTGGTGAAGCATCCAACTTTGGCTCAGGGCATGATCTCACAGTTTGTGGGTGTGAGCCCCATGTCAGGCTCTTTGTTGATATCTCAGAACCTGGAGCCTGCTTCAGATTCTGTATCTCCCTCTTTCTCTGCCCCTCCCCCACTCACACTATCTCTCTGTCTCTCTCTCTCAAAAATAAATAAACATTAAGTTAAAAAAAGTAATAAAAATAAAGGGGGTAAAGGACAATCTTGTATTAAATATATTTTAGAAATTTTCAAACACATGGGTCTAAAAAATCAAGAAAATATAGTACATACCATACTATTTCTTCATATGAAAAACATTTTTCTGATATGTCAATCCAATAAAAGTAAAGATAGTACAGAACTGATCCAAGAATTCAGCCAAGTTGCAGGGTACAAAATCAACGTACAGAAATCGGTTGCATTTTTATACACCAATGATGAAGCAACAGAAAGAGAAATCAAGAAACTGATCCCATTCACAATTGCACAAAAAACCATAAAATACCTCGGAATAAACCTAACCAAGGATACAAGAGATCTGTATGATGAAAACTATAGAAAACTTATGAAGGAAATTGAAGAAGACACAAAGAAATGGAAAAACATTCCATGCTCATGGATAGGAAGAATAAATATAGTTAAGATGTCATTACTACCTAA